GGTGTTGGCGCGTCCGGGGCGACCCGCGCCCGGGGCCCGCGTCCCGGTGCCATCAGCACCGCTGAGCGCCTACTGTATACCGTTCGCTTCGCAAGACGGCGGTGGGGCCCCGGGGAATCGGCCCAAGGCTCCCTGGCGGAGGGGACTGGGCCTTGGGGGTGAGGCCCAGTCACAGGCAGGGCCCCAGTGGAGGCTGAGCACGGGGTGAGGTCCGGGGGGAGGCCAGGGTCGCCACGGAAACCCGCACCCCGAGTCCTGTTTCCTTACTTGGAGTCCGAGTCTCGCTCTGTCGCCCGGGCCAGAGTGCCGTGGCGTCAGCCTCGCTCCCAGCAGCCTCCAACTCCTGGCCTCCACCGATCCTCCTCCCTCAGCCTCCCTCCCGGAGTATCTGGGACTACCACGCCCGCCCCGGCTCGTTTTTCCCTCTATTTTTAGTCGGTCGATCTATTTCTATTTCTAGTAGACACGGGGGTCTCGCTCTCGCTCAGGCTGGCCTCCGATTCCCTGCTCCTGAGCGATCCTCCCTCCTCGGCCTCCCGAGTCCCGTTCCCACCCAGGTTTCCGGAGCTCTGGGGATCCCCCCGGGGGCCGTGGCCTCAGCAGAGGCCCGGCCTCCTCCCTGTCCCTCTTACCCCGACGCACGCAGGACAAGCTGCTGGAGAGCCTCAACAGCAAGGTGCTGGACGTGTACCGGAACTGCGTGGGGCCTCCGCAGGAGGCCAGCCTCGGCACGGTGCAGATGCTCACGGTCATCGAGCACCAGCTGGACGAGCTGCTGGAGAACCTCGAGCACGTGCCCCCCGCCCGCATCGAGCAGGCCGAGAAGGCCAAGGAGAAGGAGCGGAGGCTGCGGTGAGGCCCGATAGAGGAGGCCGCCTCCCCCAAAACCAGCCAGGGAGGCCTCGGCCTCCGTGCCCGGGGACGCAGCCACCAGGCCTTGGGGACAGGGGGCTACAGGGGCTGGGAGTCAGGGACACACGGGCCTTGGCGAGCCTCCTCGTTCCGGCTGGGGGAGGCCTGGGGGAGACGTGGAGGCCGGGAGTGGAGGCCCTCAGCCCCGGGAACTCCAGCTCGCAGGGGAGTGGCGGGAACAGGCGCGGTGGTGGCTCACAACTGTCGTCCCGGCACTCTGGGAGGCCGAGGAGGAGGATCGCTATAGAGGCCAGGAGGTCGAGGCCAGCCTGAGCGAGAGCGAGACCCCGTCTCTACTAAAA